TTCATATTTATTTAAATTTTTAATATCGTATTTGAGTTTATTTGTTTAATTTTTTTTTTGAAAGTGTTTGTTTTTGGATCGTATAGCATTTTTGAACATGTTTGTTGCGCACCCTATTTTCATACTTTTATTTACAAGTCAAATAGAAATGGTGAAATTATACCACTAGTCCTTAAATTCCTTAGGCTTCAGCATTTAAACTCAAATTCCTTAGGCTTCAGCATTTGAACTTCAAAATTTATACGTGTTCAATTTAATCTTTACTTTCATCAATTTTTAAAATATACAAAAAATAAAAAGCTGAATCAATGAATTAATAGATAAGTTGATAAATAAATTTATTTGAGAACATAAACAAATTGAATATACGATTTAATTCTTACATTCATCAATATTTAAAATATAAAAATAAAAATTTGAATAAATGAATTTATAAATGAATTGATAAATAAATTTATTCGAGAACATAAACAAATTGAATATATCTCTATTCATAAACAAATTTAAAACTTAACTTGTTTAGTATTTAAACTATCAATTTTGATTTGTTTTAATACCTAAATTTTAATTTTTTTCAAAACTTAAAGTTTAATCTTGAACTGATATTAAAATAAAACAAAAATTAAAGTTTTTAATGACGAAATACTAAAATAAAATAAAAATTAATAATTTAAATATTAAACTCGAAATTTACTATAGTACTCTTAATTTTGCTCAATCTTTTGATGAACAACACACTACCTGTTTTCAACCAAACATGGTGGGGTCCAAGAGGCTAATCATGTGGTGCAGTTCTGATCATCTGGCTATGTAGTCAGCCATTGAAAATGGGTTCATGTCACTTTCCCGGGAAAATGATAAGAAAAGAAAAGAAAATCCATTGGGCCAGTGCTGCCACAGTGTCTGACTGAAATAGTAATATCTGTATTTACCACCAAACTTTCCAGGAAAATGATTTGATTCCCATCAAATTATTCTCTTTTAGAGCTGGGTGAATCCAGATAGTATTTTACTTTCTTTTTTTATGATTGAACAGAATAAAAAAGAAGGAAAAAATATCAGTTTTAGTTAGTTTTGGTACATTGTAGTACCTAAATTTATTAGGGTAAATTATATATTTAGTACATAAATATCAATTTTCGTTAGTTTTAGTCTATTTTAATACCTAAACTTTTAATTTTCTTAAAAATTAACGTTAAATTTTGAACGAGGTACTAAATAAAACAAAAACTAAAGTTTTTATCGGCGTGTACTAAAATGAAATAAAAACTAAACTTTAGATGTGATTTTAAAAAGACTGAGAGTTTAGGTACTAAAACAAGTTAAAAGTGCTAGTTTAAGCACTAAACATGTACTTTACCCAATTTATTATTGTGATATCTCTAGATCTTAAGAGAATAAGAGAGTTAGAGACCCTTGTAGTTTTGTAAGAGATTTATACACAGACTTTTAGTGTTGGTATTAGATTTAGGACGATGATAGTTATTTGTAAGTAAATAAAATGAGTAGATTTGATCGTGCTTAGTAGATTTAATCGATGATGGACTTGACAACGGCCGGATCAAAGAATTATAAAATTTCAGGGGACATGAAACTCCGAAGGTTTCTCAAGAACTTCAGAGATTTCGACAGGCGGAGGATGGGCCGCAAAGATGTAATTTGTAGATCATAATATTTTATAGTTGTAACTTGTAACCTTAGGTGGACGTGCTTCTTTTGTACCGAAAAGCTGCTCGAATCCGGAATCCATCGACCTGGTCTCGATTAAACGAGGGATAGCAAAGACGTTCATTACACCGCAATGCCGCGTCGAGACACGAGTCGTTTACCTTATGTATTCGACGACGAAGAAAATTATGCAGTTCATGTTCCAAAGCAGCAATTGATGCATACCAAGACTGACCATACATTATTCTACCAGCATGAGTTAAGATCAACATAGCACTTGGAGCAAAGTCAGCAGTTGGGATTCTTTTGCCTCGACCGCCTCTACCTGAACCTCGGAGTGACCATCGACATCAGGGAGATCATTCGAATCCATCACCGCCGTCGCCGTTGTTGCTCTGGCTCCTACACTCATCTGCTCTAGATTTACAAGAGAATAGCTTGCAATTTGAGCTGGTATGTCTTGAACTGCATGAAGATATCTCGATCCCGATATCAAATGCGATACTTGAACTGGTCCGTCGGAACCGAAACTCGGAAAAATCTCCTTGGCATTGCTAGAAGTTTGTTCTGAGCCTAACATTGTTGTATTCAAGCAACAGTTTATTTCGGAGGATCGGTCGAGATGCGATGTTGCAAGGCTTAAAGATAGCTCATTACTACTTTTCATGGAACCACAGGGACGATCTAGGCTCATATTTGCACCATTCGACTGTATCCACCCGTTTGGATCCGGATATCCTATCAACGAATACGATTGAAACGCTGTCTTCAACGAGGTTTTCCCGGTATGTTCGAGAAAATCGGGAAACCTCTCACACTCCCATTTACTGGTCATATCACCAAAAACTTCATTAAACACACAATTCACAGAGGTCACCATTGTGGAATTCATGCCATCAGAACATTCATATGAAGAGTAGGTCCTAAAATCCCTAGGTAAATCGAAGGTGCTACATTCTCTAACTCGACATTATGTTCCGAACCCGAAGCAACAATCGCAACCTTCCTTCCAACAGTAGGGTCGAATAACCGGACATGATTGGTATGGACATCAGAACATAGATTGCCCCTAAACTCCCCTTACACCAAGGGAAGCACAGGAAATCCAGCTATTAGTGTCTGGCATTGGTTGATCTGGTTAAATAAGTTGTAACTCGACTATCGAATCATTAGCGATCGTCCCCGATGGCATCCCGTCGACAACTCCAGAATTTTGAACACTGAACATATCATTCTCCATTACACTTTGGGGCACAGAGATCACATGGCCTTAGGCATATGGAGCAGCTCCTTCAAGATGTAGGGTCCCTAAATCCTAGCCTTCATTGTTCACTAAACAGCTTCCTTATTGGGACTCACAATGCCATAAATAACTCAAAATCAAGCGGACGAACGTAAAATTTTATGTTACGTCTTCTTCGAAGACGATCAACCCGAGATCATATGAGGAGTAGAGAGTAGTTTTCAAGCTTGCATATCCCTCTACAATGGAAAATCAGCTTAAAGATAACTACAGTGGTTGAGAAATGAAATCTCATTGGGTAAAAGATCATTGTCAAAAAAGCCAGAAAATAACTGTAGTGAAAGAATCAACGAAAGGGTAAATTACGCATTTAGTATCTAAACTATCAATTTTGATTCGTTTTAGTACCTAAACTTTTAATTTTTTTCAAAAGGCTTATATTATAAATAAGTACCTAAAGTATACTCTTTTTTTCTTCTAAAGACCTAAAGTATTTTTTGGTCAAAAGAAATACCCAAACTTATCTCTTTTTTTTGTTGTTGTCAAAATAGTTGCCTAAAGTATTTTTTGTCAAATAGGTACCTAAATTATTCAATTTGTTTCATCTAAGTTCTCAAAAGTTGACACATGATGTGATATTAATTAAAGAATACTTTAGATACTTAGATGAGAAAAATTGAATACTTTAGGTACCTATTTTGACCAAAAAATACTTTAATTACCTATTTTGACCAAAAAAATAAGTTTAGATACTTATTTCGACCAAAAATTACTTTAGGTACTTAAATGAAAAATGATATACTTTAGGTAATTATTTGTGATATAAGCCTTTCCAAAATCATATCTAAAGTTTAGTTTTTGTTTTATTTAGTAACCGTTCAAAATTTAATGTTAAATTTTGAAATTTTGAATGTTTAGATACTAAAACGGACCAAAACTGATAGTTTAATTACACCACTTTTCTTTTACTTGCAAATAATAGGATACGAATAAACAAACAAGCATACTTGCAAACGTTAATTTAACCGAACAAGAACACATTGAAAGCCAAACAAATAAACACGAACATATTATTATTAAAAATTTAAATGAATATGAACCGAACAAAAATACATTGAAAAACAAACAAACAAACACGAAAATAAACTTTTTCGTTCAAACCAGTTTCATTTACACTATACTTATTTCTAATGATTTTTGTCTAATATTACTGATTGGTAAAGTTCTTCCTAACTACTAATCCATCTTTATGAGATTCATATTATACTCGAGATATCTTATTTTTCTCGATATTATCATTTGTATCCAATCTATTGATTGACTAGTTCATATATTGTTTCTAATTATTGTTATTCCTTGAGGTCCCGTTCAAAATTTAACGTTAAATTTAATAAAAAAATTAAAAGTTTAGGTACTAAAACGAACCAAAACTAATAATTTAAGTACTACACACAATAAGTTTTTAATGAGGGTACTAAAATGAAATGAAAATAAAATTTTAGATATGATTTTAAAAAAAATGAAACTTTAAGTACTAAAATTAATAATTTATATACTAAATACGTATTTAAATTATATAGTTTAGATACTAAAATTGATAGTTTAGTTACTAAATTCAAAAATGATTTTGCATAACATGTTTTATTACAAATCATGTATGTCACTGGTCAAACATTTTAATTTGACTATTTTTAAAATATTTTTATGAGTTAATAGCGTTATACGTTCCTGAATACTTATTTTCATTTTAAATCAATCCTCAAACTTTTAAACATTCTGAATTCATCCCTAGACTATCACATTCCTTTTAAAGGTCCCCAAACTTTCTTTTGAAGTATCTAATAACATCCCAAAATCATTCAAAATTCGACACCCGATGAAAATTTGCATGATCGCCGGAAGATAAGGGAAGTCGTCCGAAGATTTGTTCGTCGAAATCGCCGCTTCACAAGGACAATCCATCACTTCCTCAAGTACGACTCCGTTCCGACAAGAGACAAAGTTCTCGGCTTCGGCCCCGTTTATATCTAAATTATATGCTTTGGCCAATCTTGAAAGTGATTGAAATAGATAAGATAAGCTAACTTGGTGAAGTTACTACCAGAACTATTAGGATTGTAATAAGATGTTCAGTTTCCCTTTACTGAAGCAAATCTACAATTTAGTTTGTTGAGGGAAGGGACAAGACAACCTTAGGCCACTGTCTGTTAGGTATTCGACAACCTAGGATTTCGAAAGAAACACCGAACTGTACCGACTATGCCTGCATCTTTCGACTAACCGGAAAATTCAACTTCAGTGGGGGTAAAAAGGAGAGAAGAGAGTGAAACCTCTAGCTTTCCAGTAAGGTTTTTGCACAGTAAGTCCCCAACAGAAACCACATGAGGAGGAGGAGAGAAAACGAGAAGAGTCCGGCCATGAACGGCCACCCGACCAGTACTAACCCAAGGCAGAGCACTACTGTGAAAGGGAGGAATGATCTTACTATCGACATTGTATCGACCCACTGCCCCTTGAGCATCAACAGTACAGCCACGCTTATCATGTTCCAATTCATTGATCCGTCGTAGCAGAGCCGGTTGAGACAATTGGCAACGAACGAGTAAGAGTTGCACGTGAAGAGGTTGTAGCTCTTGTGCTCAAAGTAACGCACGCTCGACTGCAAGGCATCATCCCATGTGAGTGCAGTCTCATACTCTGTGTGCTGGTACCCATGCTTGCATGTGTGCCCGGCCAGGTTCGGGGGAAAGCAGCACTAGTTCCACAATAAAACTGGTTAATGAAACAACCCCTAGTTCCGACAAAGAGAAATATGCCTTTGTATGCATGTAGAGATGTAAAAGGTTAAATTCCGACAAAACTATACCTTTTCTCTATCGAGTTGTACGTATCGAGCAACAGCACCAAAAGCAAAATCCTCGATATTAACAAAATACGATCCCGAAAAGTCCAAAATCGCTCCTGCCTCAAGGCAAATGCCGACATGTCCAATGAAAGGCGCCAACCATGAGACAACCGGGAGTGGGGTCCAAACTAGACAACAAGGAAACTTCGCGTTCTTCGGATCAATTTCATCTAAAGGCCACAGGTCATGCTGAATTCTAGATCCATCACGTTCGACATCATAACCTCTTTTTAGATCCATCATAGGAAGTCTTCCACGCGGCATACGGTTTTCTGCAATTCTACGTGGCGAACCATCACCATTTCAGACAACACCCTCAAACATTGACTTGTTATCCAATCACAAAGACGATACTATCATTCTACAATAAATATGTAATACCGTTACTTTTCAAAAACGATTAAACACAACATACGACGTCAATAAGTAAATGCCATGCACGAAAAGGGCAACAAAATTGTTCTAAGATTGCAAAAGTTCCAAATGTCAATATATGGTGATTGGTCATCGACATAAACCAAAAGATTTTCCGAAATACACTATCACACAACGATCACTTTAATGCAGGTTGCAATCGTTGCTATTCGAAATCGGGATTAAATCCGGTAACTAGTTAAGTGCTAAATGACTGCATATCTTAGTAAGATCATCAAACCTTTCTGTAAATTCAAAGTTCATTGAGATCCAAACTAATATACACTACGATATATACGACCACATTCGTGAATCGCAACTTTACTAATTATTATTCATTCACCTGATAAAATGCTAACTTCTTGTCGATTTAGGAACCTAGCAAGCATCTAGTTATCGTCGAATAACATTCCTTTTCGCCTTTCAGAGTACATCTACATTCAACTCAAGTCAGGAAACATCATTCCAACTTTACACAAACTAAAGACTCGTCACAACAATGCGTTTTCTCCGCAGCCAGATACGGAGGACGAAGCACCATTCGAGCTCGAAAGTCGAAACCGACATGCAAGACTCCATTCAATGACAAAGCAATTACCAAATTTCCAAGCCAAAATTTGCATCACAAAACTACCAGACCAGCACAACAAAGTTTGCAATTATTCAAATAGGTCCTTTTCCTCAAGCAAACTAATCAGATCATTAAACCCTAAACACTCCATTTTATCATTAGGGAATCAGCAAAAGAGCAAATCCAAGACAAGAACACCAATGGAATTATCAAGTCCCCAAGGTTCAAAATCAGTTCTTCATGCAAACCAATCAAATCGAAAACAAGAACAAGAACTTTAACCCTATGAAATGCATGTTGAACTAAGAAGAAAGGAAATGAAAACTTTACCAGTGAAGGAAGACACTTCCCTAACCTGCAACAAGAAAAGTAGGGTAAAATGCTAGGAAACAGAAAAGGGTAAAGCAAATATGAATCAAAGCATAGATCTTTTTGAAGGGTTGGTAAAGAAGAAGAAGAAGAAGAAGAAAAGTTGGCGATTTGGGAATCTGATTTTTGGTTTTGGCAAGTGTTGTTGAAGGGCGGTGGAAGAGATGACTAAGCAGCTTCATTTTGAAGATGCATAACAACAACAGATTTTATATATCCTGACCAAAAAAAAAAGAGAGTCAATTTGTGGAATTAATCAGATTAAAAAAAAAAAAGATAATGAATTGGGAATTGGAAAGGAAAAAGAGAGAGGCCATGGCAACTGGCAAGGTTCATGAACAATTCCGGATTTTCGCTTCCAGGTGTGGGACCCACGCCCTCCCCCACTCCTCTCCACGTTTTTATAGTTTCTTATTTATTTTAGGGTTAATGCCCAAATAAATGCCCCCAAACTATATCGTTTATGCCGAATATGAATTATATTATATTTTTTTTGACACATCCATATATTTAATATTACAAACATTATCTTTTGAGTTGTTTGGACCGTCAACGATATTAATTTTTCTCGTTAAATAATAAGGGTCATAATCTAGTAATTTTAAAATTTTATAAAAAATTAAAAAAAAATTATATATTTTAAAAAAAAGAAAACACATACATTTTGAAATAACCCCTATACTTTGAAAACCTTCATTCTAACCCCTAAACCCACACCGACCACCGCCTTTTGTTGTCGAAGAAGCTCCACCCGATCTCCCCTTCCCCGAGGACCAAACCCCCTATGAAATCGTGGCCGATTGACGATCGATCGACGAAAAATTAGCATTTTATACCCCGCGAACCCTAGGATGAAAATCGTGATCCCACACGATTCTAATGGTAAATCGGCGACAACTACGACGAAATATAACTAGGATGATGGTAGGGACTACGTCGACGGCAATGGTCGTGGCCGGAGAGGGCGTCAGTGGCATGTTAGTGCTAGGATTTGAGGATTTTATGGATTTTATAATTTAAAAGAAGTTAGGTTTTTTATTTATAAATATGATAATTTTAAAAAATAAACTTCAAAATTACCAGACACGTGTCACTTAACGGGGAAAACTAGCGCCATTGACGGTACAGACACCTAAAAGGATAACGTTTGACACCTGAATGAGCCAAAAAAACAATGTAGGCTCCTATTCGGCACAAAAGATATAGGTTGGACACTTATTTAAGCACTAAGTCTTTATTTTAGGGTAAAGTAAACAAATGTTACTTCGTTGAGTCATCAACTATTGAAAGTTATAAAATGTTTCTCTAACTAAAAGACGTTGTTTTATTGAGTTTTCTTACCATTAAAAGTTATAACATGGTCATTTGACTATTCATGTGTTCCAAATTCGTTATTTTACATTAAAATACAACAATCGTTTGAGTATGACATTAACTTTTTCACCAAGTTATGATAAAAATCCAATCCTTTGACTGTTTGAATTGTATTTTATGGATCGAGTCTCTATTTATATTATATCGATCGAGCTAGTGTTTGAAAGCATCGACGATACCAACAAACATCATTAAAATATGAATTTATCGTATCTCAACCGATAGGTTAACATCAAACTCAGATTGTCGTCAATTTTTTAACGAAAAAGGATGAGTTTGGAACATATGAATAGTCGAATGATCATTTTGTAACTTTTAATAGTCAATGGACTCAATAAATCAACATCCTATAATCGAGAGATCATTTTATAACTTTAGTTAGTCGAGAGACCAAACAAATCAACATTCGATAATTGGGGTATATTTTGTGTACTTTACCCTTAATTTCATTTAAAATTTTGCTAAGATATTATTTCTAAAAAGATAAATTATACTTACGACCACTAAACTTTTAATATACTTTCATTATTATCATCATTATTATTTATTGTTAATAGAAAATGATGCGACATGCTAAAGTATTATTTTCAAAAAAAAAAAAAAATTATCGTTTCAAAGGTTAATTAATAACTTAAGATCACGTAAGGACCATACAAAGAAAGATAAAAAAATTTTAACCGAAACTTGAACAATAATAAATACAAACATATCTGATTGCATTGGTAAACGATCCAAAAAATTAAACTATTAAAAGACCACCAATAAAACCGCAAATACTATTTTTAATTTTTTTTTTGATTAATCTGGGGTAAGTACAAGACAATATATGTTCAAAGATAACTCTCAACCCTTTGACATTGAAGGCTCACACCCCTGACATTTATGGTGCTCGAACCCGGATCTTCGAGAAATAACAACAATTCCTTTATCATGGAAGTCATTTGATTCGTGCACTGTTTTTAAAATATTAAATAATATGACTCGGGTTGATTTTATTCTTCTATATTATATTATATTATATTATATTATATTATCTTCGTCAATCATTTTGTTGGAAACAAGTGATTTTTTAATTATCATATAAATAATAATAATAATAATAATAATAATAATAATAATAATAATAATTTATTTTTATTTTGATATCCACACTGCTTATCATTTATTGTTATATTAGTGTTTGTTAATATATTTTTATTTTCTTTTAAATTATTTGATTAAACTTTTAGTTCTTTTGGTGTACTTCTTATTCCATTTAAAACTAGATAGCAACTATTTTTATTTAAGGGTAAAATATACAAATAGTCTCCTGACTATATGGTATTGTTTTGTTGAGTCCTCTTATTATTAAAAATTATAAAATGATCCTTAGACTATACGACATTACTTTGGTGAGTCTATTGACTATTAAAAGTTACAAAATGACCACCCTACTTTATATGTTCAAAACTCATATTTTTCCATTAAAAATTTATAGGTCGTATAAGTTGGACGTTAACATGCTGACTGGATATAATAGTCTTTTGAGATTATGAGATCATATTTTATCATATCTTAGTCAACAAGTTAACGTAATCTTAGATTGCAATGAATTTTTAACAGAAAATGGCGAGTTTAGAACATATGAATAGTTGAATGGCCATTTTGTAACTTTAATAGTTAAGGGACACAAAAAAACAATATCCTATAGTCAGGAGACCATTTTATAACTTTTAATAGTCAAGAGACTCAATAAAACATCGTCTTATAGTCAGGGAACCATTTGTGTATTTTACCTTTTATTTAATTAAACTAAAAGATATTCATATTGTACGTTTATTTATTTAATTATTATTACTACCTTCGTTTGTATATATATATGGTTAAGATCCATTAACACTGTGTAAAACTATATTTTTACTCATCCAACGATCTTAAATCCGTGTAAACTAAAAGAATTTTACATCTGTGTAACAAGATCCTATCCCTATATATTTCATTTCGTATTTTTTGAATAAAAATAGGGTAAAATACAAGTTTAATATCTCAACCAACATTTCTGTTTCATTTTGGTCACCCAAATAATTTTTTTCAAAATCGTACCTAACGTTTAATTTTTCTTTCATTTTAGTCACCCATTGTTAAAAAATTAATGGTGATGCTGATGTGTCAGTTGTCATCATAAGATAATGCCACATCATCGTTAAAAAATATATATATCACATAAGTAATTTTGTTAATTTTTTAACGATAGATGACCAAGATGGAATCAAAATGTAACATTAGGTATGATTTAAAAAAATAATTAAGTTACCAAAATAGAACAAAAATGATAGTTAATGTACTAAATATGTAGTTTTGGACTTTTGGTCACGTCATGTTTACAACAAGGGTGGTGAAATTCAGTGTAAGAAACAAATACACCTAACCTAACCTAACCTAACAATTAACACTTGCCGATGGCTTCTAACTTTTTTCAGTATATCATCATGCATTATTATTTTATTTTCAAGTTCATGCACATACATACATATAAAGTACTCGAATTTAAAGTTATTTAGTTCAAACAACGGCTACTCATAAATATATTTATATAAAAAACTCAATTTTATAATTTTTTTAATATAAATAATATTGTTTAAATCCAAATTATTTAAAAGAAAATATACATTCTTTCACTGTTGGGACTATTCTTTAGGATCTTATTTTTAGATTATAAGAGTCTATTTAGTATTTAACATCATATGCACGAATTGTTGTTATTCCTGAGGACTCAGGTTGAGCACCATAGATGCCAGAAGTGTGAACGTTTAATGTCGAAAGGTTGAGAACTATCTTTGAACAGTTACTACATTGTACTTACCCCAGATTAATAATAAAAAAATCATATTTATCAGCATCATTATTTCCCATCGTATTTGGATCAATTTGAACAAAAAATCAAAAATTCAAATGTCAAAAGAAACACAATAAAAGTTTAAGTGTTAATATTACTAAATTGGTAAAATTAAGGATATGCAAGTAATTCTTTAGTTTTAAATATATTTATATTTTTTTTAATTTTTAAAATTAAATACATGCATATAGATATTCCTCAACTACAAACATATGAATGTGTTTATAAGAATATATATATATATATATATATATATATGAATAAATTATTTAAAAATAGTTAAACTAAATAAAAATAGATATTATTTAAAATATCAAAACCTTATTTTAATTATACACATCATTTGCAACCACTCTGCCCATTACTTAGTGCCAGGTTTTGTTATAGAAAAAGAATTAGAACAAAACGCATCAATTGCCCTCCACAATGTGCTTTAATTGAGGCTAGAATTAGCCTAGTTAGGGTAATTATCGAGTGAGTCGATCGCGAGTTAGATAGTACTCGACTTTTACTCGTTAAAAGTTTTTGTTGTTTGACTCTACTCGTTAAGATCGTTAAAATTTTGATCGACTCATACTCATTAAGAAAATTTGTTGCTTGACTCGTTGTTTGTTTAATTTTTTTAAAAATATATCGTTGGCGAAAATTTATTTTAAGATCTATGACATTTATTATAGTGCTTTGGAACTCGTCACTTAAACATGATAAGTTCTAATAATATATATATATATATATATATATATATATATATATATATTAGAACTCATCACGTGGACATGACGAATTTCAATAAAATATAATTTTTTTATTAAAAATGTATTTTATTTGAACTCGACATGCTTACGTGATGAGTTTCAAAACACTAAAGTAAATGCCATAAATCCCAAAATATATTTAAAGATGCCCTATTTCGCTAATTAATTATTCAGAATGAGATCACACTTGTTTACAATTCCAGGGATTGGGATTTTTTTACCCCAAAACAAAGACCTCCACGTATGATTATTTACCTTTTTTTTCTTTTCTTTTATTTTTATCACTTTTGATTATTATTTTTTTTTTTGCAACATTCTTACAGTTGACAAATGCTGAACCTATTCATAATACTAAGCACGGTTTTCAGGTGGTATCCTCCACTGCACTTATGCAGCTGATCACTTATCAGAGGAATCGATCCACTCTCATTCGGGACGGAAGTGCCGATCCCCCGTTTCGAATGAGCCGGCACGTCCCCATCCCCACTCTTTTTTGAACTTTCTTTGCACATTTAGAACTAACCTTTCTGGCTGCCTGGTTCATTTTCAAGCCAGGAAACAGCTAATGGAGTTCTTATTACATCAAAAATCAACCTGTAATTTGATTTTCCGAGTTCGGCTTTTCGACATACAGCTGTTGAAGACGTCGTAGTCGGGATACGAGCTGTGCAAATGATGGTCGGAGGTGTGGCTCCCTGCAGAGATGATAACACAAGTTATATTAATGTGAGTTACACAACAATCAATATTGCAGACTATATCACCTATATGATATACTCGGATACTTGCACCGAGTCACGAGCACGACTAACCATAAAAAAGATCATTCTAATTATTTTGAGTTAATTATGAACAAAAATCCTTTTATTCAATGCAAGGGGAAAATAACTAGGGTTTGTTTCGGAAGTTTATGAGCACCCGAGAAACGAGAGACCGATTAAACATTCAGATGAGATTGAGTTGGTGCATTTTCTATGATCATTCTCCAGACATGGATAAATGTAAAACAAATTATGTCTAGAACTCACGTTTGCCAACATTCACGTATTATATGTGCAACAATTGGGTCAATATCTTCGGGAATTTCGAGACGCCTATTCTGGAATCCAACAGCTCCAACAACTTGCATTGGATTCAAACCTTTCCAAGGAACACGCAGTGTAACCAGCTCCCATAATATCACACCAAAACTGTACACATCACATCTGAAACCAAGCCAGTCTATTCGTATGAGAAACGGGATAGAAATGTCATGCATGTGCCGGTCAAAAGTCACTTACTTCTCATTAGCTGGTTCGTTCCTTACAACTTCCGGGGCCATCCATTGAGGCTGCAGTCCAAGAGAGAACATTTACTTCATAAAAAGAAGATATATTTGGATTAATAGGAAAGTAACAGAAAATTCAAAGTGAAACAAAGGATCGTCTTTTAGTAATACTACCGTTCCAGCAGTAGACTTTGAAGAGAGGAATGTGTGATGTTTCATGCGTGACAACCCGAAATCACATACCTGAATGGGAAACAAACATATTCCAAATGAAATCCATAAGCATCTTCCAGCAGAAAGTTAAGCAATCAGTAAAGTAGCTTAAAAACAAGGAACAGTTTTAGCCAGAAATTAGATTTATGTTAAGAACCTTTACAACCCAGTTCTTATCGACAAGGAGATTTGGTGTTTTCAGATCTCGATGAACTATAGTAGGATGGATTGTGTGCAAATAATTCATTCCTTTAGCCTGCAGATAATAGCAAGTTTCAGTTAACAACCGAGCAGGAAGAAGAGTGAAGGGGAGACAGGGAATTACAGTGCAAAATATGAAGCAAAATAAAAATAAATAATCTATTCACTTGTGACTAGTACCACATCAAGAGCCATTCTCATCCGTCTCTTCTCATCAAGTTGCGGATTGGATCGATGCAGTATCTTATACAAACTTCCCCTGCATGAGAATGAGGAAGGAAAAAGAAGAATGTAAAACAGGTAGGCCAACCTTGTCTTATTAATTAATCAGTTATTGGCAAAAAGCACAAAAGCAATAAGAGTGGTCATCTTAATAAAAAAAAAAGACACTTCTAGATAAGGATATGCTGTTTTCATACACAGCAAAACACAAAATATATGCATTTAGTAGCTTACACCGGGGTACAAGGAGATTTCAGTACCTACCATCTACAAACAAAACATCAGTGACAAAATATGCACCGTATTACTAAGAGGACAGTTTGAGCACTATTTTCTTTTTTCATCTTTTAATACCAGAGGGAAATTACCATGAAGCAAAAAAATGACCACTAATATCCATAACAATTGAAAAGAGCATACAAATAACGTTAACTTACTAATAACAAAAGCATTAAAAACAAAAGAAAAGAAAAGAGAACAATTTCGATTGTATACAGAAAATCAACCTGGGTAGAAACTCTGTGAGTATAGAGAAATGTGGAGACCGAGTAACAGCTCCCATGAAAAGAACAACATTTGGATGTCTTAACCTTAACATGATTTCAACCTGCACAGGGTCATCAATCAGAGACGACCTCAATTCTAAATATAAATTCATTCAATTCTACAGTAAAGTTAAGCTCACAAGCATGTGGGGAAATTAACAAGCATCATACTATAGGAAGCTTTTAGGGCTTACTTCACATTTAAACTGAACCACTGCATCACCAGAGAAGTCTTGATCTAGAAACTTCTTCACAGCAACCTCCTGAAGACCCGTCAAAGAAAATGAGCCAAACACTCCAATGAAAATACCATAGAAGTCATTAAAGAGACTTTTCGAACAAGCCATATACTGTCATCAGTCATAGAAGAATTATTCAAGAGAAGCTAATGCAGATGCACTTAGTAAACTTACTACAGCTTGGCATGTGGAACTGTAATTGTTCATTGTATCAATTAGTACACTACTCCTAAAAGTTCCACGGAACAAAAGTAATAGCAAATGTAACTCACAGTGCCATTCCAATCTGCTCGGTAGACCTCACCATATGATCCTGTAAGAAAAAAGTTCATCTATTAAGCAAGTGTGCACCGGTAAGGAACAGTCGAGTCATATTCAAGCACCGCATTCTGACTGTAGATCCAGTAAAACATGAATATAAAAAAATGCAATCAACTGAGCCAGTTCTTATTCCTAAATTGTTGCATCAAAAAGAAGGTTTAAAAGATATCTGAAAGTTCCGGGATTGTTCCTTATACTATGTTATTCCAGGTTAGCCTAGGCAGGAGATATCTGAAACTTAAAAGAACTAGGGAAAACAGAACCAGACATATAAATGTTGTTATGATGAGGCCTTACCAATACCGATGCGTTCACCAACTTGAAGATCCTCCCATGGGATTTCCCATTCTGAAACCTCCCTAAGCATAGGATGTATCTTCTCACTGTGAACCTTACTAATCAAATGCAAATCACAATCTGCGGTTTTGATCAACTCCAGTGCAGATTCTTTATAGAACTCTGTACCAGAAGTCCTTTGTATTAACTTGTCATCCGTGACCAAGACATTTTCTGACTGTATTTGGCAAAACTCATTAGCAGAGCAGAAGGAAGTCTCACAAACTTGTGTCCGCTCATTAACCGTATTACCAACAAGAAATTCCTCACATGTAGCATCAGATGCAGATGTAACTTCAGTATTTAAAGTTTTTATGGCATTCATTCCAAGCTCTCTCTGGTATTTAGCCATGTGGTTTTGTCCAAGATTTGAATCAGTATTTTCTGAAGTCTCCATGCCAGAGGATACAAGACGGAGCGCATTGACTGGCAACTCATTTGAATGGCAGCTAGCAGCATCATCTACATTTATCCCTTTCACCACTTGTTCAGCCCTACTTTGTTCACAATGATCCTGAGAATTACTATCCATGAACAAATCTGGAGGAGGTGATGCGCCACTCTCCATCAAAACAGCATGTAACTTCTGAGCAAATTCTGGGTCCTTTGCTGCACTGATAACATACTTAGAAACATTTTTAACCTTTCTCTTTTGCGCTGATGATGGCTTTTCATGGATGCCAGAAACATTTTCACTAGATTTAGGTGTCAAGGGAAGAAGCTTCCTAAAATCTTGTTCAAATCTCTCAAAGACAACTCTTTCAGCATGGCTCCTCTCCTCTTCATTTGCCTGACTGCTGAAAAACTCTGTTGACCTCATGGCACCAACTTTAGGGCCCATATTGAGAGCAGCTGAAACTGCCAAATCTACAATTCCTTTGTCAAGCAGAACAGGTGGACTCTGAGAAGCTTCAGAACGATCAGCAAAGCCTCTTACATCAAGCGCAGAACTTAGGAGGTGACAGCTTGGTACTTCAGCAGGAATCAGTGTCCCAGGAGCACCCATCAGATCAATAATATATTCACTGCATATTTCAGATAATATTAACTTTTCTTCGCTAGACAGCAAAACTGCTTAAAGGCTGAAGCAGAAGACAGAATGGAACTGAAAAAAAAAACTCAAAAAGTTATGTGTATTTAGCCTGAAGGAAAAAATTTGCACCAACTAAAGAACAGTGCTTAACAGAAAATATTAACTGGTATGACAAAATGTTGAGGGATAAACTCAAGAAAAAAGACCTTTATATGCACAAATAGTATAATACACTGCATAGTTACCAAAACCAAAGATGATATATTAGAGTTGGAGGAGACTACCTTCCGTTATTCATTCTGACCAAGTTCACAGCTCCATCATCTGTACCAGTGTAATAACTCCCTTTGACCAGAATGCAGGGGAGGTTAATTCTATCAGCTAGAACCTGGAACCCGATACATAAAAACAATTTCCTTATAAACGGTTCACATACTGTTATCATTAATGCAAGTTAAAATTAGACAAAAGTGGCAGAATATATGACTAGCAGAAAAAGTAAGTCAAACAAAAGATATCAAATGAAAGGAAAACGAGAGGTGGTGTAGACATTAGTGAAGTTAAAAGGAAAACATCTTTGATGAGTTAAACTTATGGGAATAAGAGTATTCAAGGGTTTTTACAACCTTAAAAAGCAAGGCTCTGTGACGAGAAAGTCCGACATCAAGCCGTCCAAGTGGAAGAATGATAGTGTTAAGAGAATTCCGTAACTCATAACTTCTCGAGGTCCACATTCTCAACATCTCTTCAGCATCAGCAACGGGACCACCCATTCTATTTACAACTGTTTCAGCAATTTGCTGAATCATGCCATTTAAAACTGGGACATGGCCAAAAGCTTGGGCTTGCACATATATGTTATTCACTCTTTTCTCAAGTGCTTGCAATTCAGGATCAAACAATCGGTTAACCAAAATTACTTCATAATCAACATTATCCAACACTGATATTGCTTGAAGATCAACCAAAGTTGGCATCTTCCCTTGGGCACCCAAATTTGATGCAATTCCATACACATCATAAAACCCATCCACAATCTTTTCATCATAGTTTACAACATTATAGTTCTGCAAATAACAAAACATAGAAATTACTTTTCTTTTCCTCAAGAGAAAAAGAAACAAATATATTATCTAACGTGTTTTAGAACTTGTTCAGACAAGTACAATGCGTAAAACCAAAGGATGAAAATGGATTTAGTTTTACTAATCAACATAAGGAAAACGTAATCAAAATTAATAACAAGCAATATTCGTATCCATATTGAATACAATATCCCATCGTAATAACCAATGATGAATCAAATCATAAAAATGAGAATAAACAGAAACAAGGTAATATATCATTTATATTTATGGAGAAAAAAGAAGCATACATGTAAATTTTATTGTGGTGAGGGATAAGGAAAAAGACTTACCAACTAGCTCTGCTTAAAACGGAGCTGCCATTGTATAACAGAGTTCAAATAAACAAGCATATTGTACTGCCTAAATAATAAAACAATTTTTCATAAACACAGTTCATCGGCCTTGGCCGCATGCAGAACTTAACATGTTTAAACAATGAGATGTTATCAACGTATATGAACGAATCAATAAGGATGTACGAATTGCAATATTTAGCAAAACTTCAACTAAAGAGATAAAAAACTAATAAGAATTTTAAAAATTAGTGAATTTCTATCCCAACCAGTTCATGACTAACGAGAATGGCATCAAAGTTAAGAATTTCAAAAGTTTACTACTAATGAAAATAAACAAATAAACTAGTAATCACAGAGAGAAAACACGAAATGCAATCAGAAATTATTAGTAAAAGACATCAATTCACAAAAAAGGGGGAAATGAATATAAAAGGAATAAATAGAATGATCTCATAACCGAATTGAGGAAACAAGTAATTGACTATTGAAACCGATTCAAACAGGAAATGCAATTTCGAAAACCTAATTATACTAATACGCATATATAATTGAAATATGAAAGAATACATTACCCAATAACGAAGCGAGAGTAACTCATCAAACGCCTTGGTGTCGGTGCCGGCGAGACTAATCCTTTTAGCTGCGTCGATCTGAGCTGTCTCGGGATCGGAGGCACTGATTGCCAAGGCCAACTGCATCTGAAACTCTTCTTCCAATAAATTAAAATCCACCTCGTCTCCAGCCGTCCGATCTGCCTCGACCGATTCAACGGTCCCGATTCTCCCCGTTGCCCTTGAATCGACAGAAGGCGATGATGGAGAAGAAGAATTCGTCGCCGTTCCCGTCACGTTCATCGGATTCGAGTTCGGACTCGAGGCGATAACGGACCGCGCCTCCGCCAATCTTTGGTGCTCGTTTAAACCACCGCCGATGTGGAGCTTCCTTAAGAGATGCTTCATTTTCGACATCGATCATCAACGGCGACTATTCTTTTTTATTTCTTTTAAGAATTTTTTTTTTGTAATTGTTTTTTTTTTCTTGTACCACTGTTCTTAATTTCTATTACTATTCTATGTACAGTCTTAACCTACGCCCAAAGGACAAAAGTAGATTCGCTTATCCTGCGCACTCTTTTGCCGTCAAAGCTAAACGGTAAACGGTTTCAAACAATAAACGCCCAACAAATTCCCTCCAGATGCACATACAAAACGGTAATCAAATAAAGGATAAAATACATAAATAGTCCTCAAACTTCGAGGGACTTACAATTCTCTCAAGTTTGGTGGTAGGTTCATTAAAGATGAAGGCAGCTCACCCGCCAAGCGATTGTTTTCGAGATGACTACGTAAGACAAAATCATAGTCAGTAAATTCTTTACACGTCTCGATTCTCGATGTTTCAACAGTCATTGGTAAATATTAATGGTGAAGATGTACCTATCACTGTGTGAGCAACATTATGTAGAAGTGGTTTCATCCAACGGCGAACGATGAACGATCTTTTAACTATCATATCACATCATTCATCAAATATACATCAATAATGAATCGGTTGATATCATTTAAATGATTAAATAATTTAATTAATATAATTAAAATTTTAATGATTAGATTATAATTTTTTTATAATTAGATAGTTATGAGTATAATTTATCAAATTATTAACGAGAGGCAAATATTGGTTGTATCGACGTGTGATGTAAAGATAGTTGAAAATGGCATTGTTTTGAAAATCGGACCGGATCGGTCGGTTCAATCGGGAATCGTGTGCTAGTCCGGTTTAATTTAAACCGGTTGAATCGTTCGAACCGGATCGGCTGAAAATCGGAAAAAACCGAAAAAAAAAACGGATTTTTTTTAAAAAAGAAAAAATTAAACCAAACAACGTCGCTTGTTAAACGAGCCAAGTCGAACTCGATTATTGTTGTGCTCGACTCGAACTTGAAAACTTTAAAAGTAAGCTCAACTCAAACTCACAAACTAAAAATTATCAAGTTCAACTCAAGCTCGAAATATAATATTGAAACTTGAACTCAAAAAGGCTTAAACTAAAAAAATATTTAGAAGCTCAATTGAAGCCTAAAATTCGAGCTTGATTGAAGTGAAAGAATAGTTCACTCAATGCTCACCAAAAGGCTCTATGATTTTGAATGCCAAATTACCTCTATTATTTATAGAAGTTAGTTGTGATGCTCTTCTATGTTTCTTAGCAATGTGGGATTGTTTTGTTCTCATATTTTTACTCTTTAGACTTTTGAGATGCTCTTCTATGTTTCTTAGCCATGTGTGATTGTTTTTAAAAAAAAATTAAACCAAACAATATCATTATGTTATGATTTTTTAACCCCAAATTTATTTTTTAATTATAGTTATATAATTATATTTATTATTTAATATGTTTTACCTTAAATATTATGTTGTAGTTAATTTGAATCATTTTGTTTTACTTGATTTTATGGGTTTTAACTTATATATGTTATGACTTGCTTTGAATATGAATTGTGATATAAAAAATTATTTTTTATTAAATATTTTTTGTATTTTTATTTAATTTTTTAAATAATTATGACGTCGTCCGGTTCTTCCGACCGATTCTACCGGTTGAACCAGTGAACCGATAGTATGACCGGTTCGCTAACCAGTCTGATTTTGAAAACCATGGAAAAGGGCATGCATTTACTATTATCTATGCCTAAAACCTAGGAATTGGGAATGGGTTGGGTTTGATCGGACTTTTGACTAATCTAATCTGAAAAATAAATCTTTATTACTCGAATTCTATTCGACTCGAGTTTAGGGTGATTTCATCCGACCCCAATATATACTCAAGTTTTAAAAAAAAAATAAAACCAGTGTAAAATAAATATATTTATAAAAAAATATTAATTTTATTAAAATAAAATTAGAAATTAATTGAAAATATAATATAAAAGGGGTATTCTTGCCATTATCTTTAAACATATAAGATAAAATTAGATTATTTTTCAACTCGGATAAGTTCGTATATTTTTCACTATAAACTCGAATCCAACCCGAACTTCTACTCTGAAGAACCTAACCCGAACACAAAATTTTTTAAAAGAACATGACTCAATCAAATCTGATGAGGTCGAAATGCGTCGGGTTCGGATCTCATATCATCGTGTAAAACGTGTTCACTAAAAGAACATACAAAATATAGAAAGGCCCCAGAGAAAAGGAAAATTATAAATATAATACAAAATTTGGAATCTCCAGAAGATCTTAGTTTTTGTCAATGTTTTCAAAATCTGATTTTATGTGTATATTATTACTTAGCATGTTCATGCACTTCTGGGTTAGTTGTAGGGATGTGCATGGACCAGAACCAGATGGGTTATCGGGTCGGGATTTTTTAAAGTTGATGTTCGGGTCGAATTCAGGTTTAGGGTGAAAAATATTCATCCCGAAAAAAATATAATTTTATCTTATATATTTAAGAATAATTATAATAATATCCCTCTATATATTATTTTTTCAATTAAATTATTGTTTTTATTGAATAAAAATAATATTTTTTATTATTTCGGGTAGGATTCGGATTTTATCTCAAAAAGTCGGGTCGGGTTCGTGTCAGGTGGAGGGTATATATTTTTTGGGTCAGGTCGGATGAAGGATGTACAATTTTTCGGGTCGGATCAGATTAGCCGAAACCCGACCCAAAACTGACCCATGCCCATCTCTAGTTATTTGCCTCTCAATTTGCACAAACCGCCAAATTCATGCATTTCTTGGTTGGACATATATAGATTTTTACGGTAGAAGATAAATTTATAAAATTTTAGGATGAATTTATAAATTTTTTTTCTTCTGAGAAACAGGTTATCAACAAAAAAGTATAAAAAAAATACTTAAATTATATGAAAATTTAAAATTTTTGGAGGGGATTGTCCTACTAGATCCTCGATCTATCTTTGACTACTTGGCCAAATATTTGAGCATATTTTCCATCAATTATTGAGTTTTTATCCAATTAGGCTATGTTAATATAAATTATAAATGTGATGTCTCTATTAAATTATTTAAATAAACTTTTTATTATCAAATAATATTTTAAATTAAATTTGTTCAATATGGATTAAAAAACTATTTTCTAATTATATTTTGGGATAAATTACAAATTTGGTAACTGAACTTTACTCTCTCTTATTTCACTTATTGTATTTTAATTTTCTCACTTAACTTAATACATTGAGTTTTTTTAGTCACCCGGCCGTTAAATAGTTAACACATTAAAATGGGTTGTTATATAGATGCAAAACGACGTTATTTTGTGAAATTTTTGTTTTTTTAACGGCGTCGTTTTTAACGCCGTTAACTATTTAACAATGAAGTGACCAAAATAGGAGAGAAAATAGAGTTCAGTGACCAAAAAATTCAATATATTAAGTTCGATGAGAAAATTGAAATTTTTTAAAGTTTAATGAGAAAAATAGGAGATATAGTAAAATTTAGTGATGAAATTTGTAATTATATCCACCAATTATGAATTACTATGAATTTATGGGAAAGCAATGAACATGAATGGCCATATAAAGTCACAATATTCAAATTCAATAGAAAGCATCACATTCATTTGGTCATAGTTGGCAAGTCAATGAAGGCATCAATTGCAATCAATTTGATCAAAATTTAAAGAATTTTATAATTATTTTTTTTAAAAAATAAAAAATAATTTATTTTTATAATTTCTAAAATTATGCTTAAAAATATTAGAAAAATATCGAAATAAAATTTTAATTATAATTGAGAGGTTAAAAGAGATATTTGAAAGCCCATTGACAATCATAAATCAGAATCGAAATAATTTGAGAAAACTACGTATCCAAATCCAATATGATGGTCTAAAGCATGGAAGATTAGCATAATAATAAATAAATGTCATATTGATTAGTCGAGGTGGTGTCCAATCGAGCTCTGAGAAAATTACACAAAAAATAACTGTCAAACGACTAATAGAAAATATTGAAAACGTACTAAAAGGCATATAAAAATGTGTCATGAAGATCAAAAAACGTATCATACATACAGAGTTACTAAAAATTAAAAACAAAAGAAAAGCAAAATGTGAGATATAAAAAATAAAGCGAAAAAATACAAACCATCGATAACCGACATTAAGACCGATGTCATTGCCTACCAAAGAAAAAAATATTAAATAATATAAAGATTTACTATGATTGATAATTTCTATAATTCATTTTATTTTATTTATAACGTGAAGATCCAAACTTTTAAATATTATAAAGCAAATGTGTAAATTTAAGTTAATTTATTATGATTATTTCATAAATATGTAAATTTAATTAATTATATTGATTTTGGATTAAATAGATTTTAAATTTTAAAATTTTCGAATTATTTTAAATTTAAGTTAATTCAGATTACATGATAAAGCCCTTTGAACCTTTCTTCATGCACGCCATTCTCTACCTAAGCTCCGCAATGGGTCCTCCAACTTCTCTAATTTCTTTCATTAGGTCCTTCAAGTCTTTAAATCTTTTAATCAAATTTTCGCAACTGTTTGTCTAAATTTTCGCAATGAGCCCCTTCTTTAATTATGTGTAGCACGTGTTATTGAAACTAGCATGTATATATATAATTGTTGAACATCAACAATGCAATAGGATAGTTCTGTCGTACGATAAATTAATTTAAAACTAAGAAACAGTTAAAAAAACGGATACAATCGAAAATTTATATAAGATACGAAATAAACTGGTGATTAACCCTTTGATGGTCAATAGGATAATTTATGCACACATGTATATAATCTATTTGCATCTACTAACCCCAAAACCCTATAAACATCCAAGGACTCAACAATGGAACAATGCAGCACCGAAAAACAACATCACAATTGAGATTGACACACGAAGAGAAATAGAAGAGGCCTTGGATGAATAGAAATAGTAATAGGGGTAAGGGTAAGGGTACTCATGAGGTCCTACTGAGGGTGACCCTTGGCCTGCAGGTGCACCGTAGACATACTGAGGAGGCGGTGGTGGCGGACTGCCCTTGGAGGATGACGACGAAGGTGCGGACGGTGGCGGGCGAGGTGGAGATGGAGGTGGTGAGAAAGATTCTGATTCCAACGGTGGCGGGGAGTGGTTGGGAGTTTGTGGTGGGAAGTAAAAGTAAGGTACCGTCGGTGGTGACGAGTGGTGAACCGGCGATGGCGGTGGAAACGACTTCGACGTTGGTGCCGGTTGGGGTGAACATTTGACCGGACATGTTCCACATTCGCTGATACATAGTAAACCGGCCGATGGTGTCCCGATTTCATCTCCCGATGATGTTCTAGCAGCCATGATCATCCCCATGAGACCTAATTTCAGAACCAAGACAACCCATTTGTGCCCTTGGAAGAGTGAACCATATGAAAATCCCATCACCATTTTGGTTTTGCTCCTTTGTGCACAAATCACAAATGAAGGGTAACGCACCTACAAGATAGGGCACTTAACCCTTTTACATGCGTGTGTAGGGCTCTTCTAAAAGTTTGGTTTTAGATGCTTCCCTTAATGATTGTTTTATGACGTATTACTTTACTTTCCACAAAATTCTTTTCTTCGATCTCTGAAAAACTCTTTTGGATTGTTTAAAAGAAATAGATTTATAGGTATAGACTTCTACAATTTTATCAGAGGAAAATTCATAAATTTTTAACGATGACAAAAACATGTTATCAATAGAAAATATAAAAAAATATATAAAATAGAAAAAAATTAAAATTTTCAGGGGACGACTACCTCCAGCTACCCTCCCCTCGGTCCATCCTAACATATATGATCGAAAATTGTACATATTACAGATCGTGAAAAGTCTAAGTATATATATACCAGATAAGAAATAAGTTATATTAAACAAGTCTTCTTATATTTTTTTAATCGAATCGAATAAAATTTAAATCAAGATCTTTAATTGGTCGAAGGAATCCAAAATTTTTATTTATTTATTTATTTATTTCTTAACCTAGTTTCATCTTTTGTGAGAATCAATTCTACACTTAAAAATGTGACCCTTGACACTTTATTCTTTGCTTTAGAAGGAGGGCTCCCCTGAATGACTTGAATATTCACCATTGATGAATTAAGTTGAGTATGAAACAAACTTGAATGACTAGAAAGAGTTAAGGGTAGATAACCGACACAAATTTGATGAGTTTCGATCTAATTTTATAAGATTAAATTTTTATTTTGAAAAATAGAGTTCAAATTGATTTTTTCGAAAGATAAGATCAAATCACGTCAGGTTTAGGTTTAATGTGAAAAATACATGATCTAGTAATAATAGATTTTTCAAAAGATAAGTTCAAGTCATATCGGGTTTAGGTTTAATGTGAAAATTACTTGACCTAGTAATAATAGTATGATCGACTTTTATATATATTTAAGGATAATTATCATAATACCTAACCTGACTCATACCCCTCCATGTTAATGATATATGATCAAATCTAATTAGAGTGGGGATGAGTATAAGTTTAGTAGGTAGTATGCATGTGTGGATGTAAAAAGTCATAGTCGCCGTGAGTGGTGGGTAGGTGATGGATTTCAGATATTACCCGCACCGCATCCGTCCACCATGCATCCACCTACCCACTAACTATTCATCATATACATTTTGGACTATTATGAATTTACGTATAGTTTCAAAGATTATTGTATAAATTTTAAGATTTTATAAGACATAACTTGTAATTTAACACAATGTTAGAGCATAAACATTTTTAAAATTGAAGACGATCTATTATGTAATCTGTGAGGTTACTATCGGGCGGATATAGGTGGGTACAATCGGGTACAAGATGGGTGGTGGGTATCCAGTTGAATAGTGAGTGTGGGGGATGTATTTGAAATTGTATCCGCGTGGGCAGATATAGATTTAAAAATTTTATCCGTCGTGGGTAGTGGATAGTGATGGATATAAAAATATTAAATGAGTATAGGGATAAAGGAAGGAAAATTCGTACTCTTCCCGCCCATTTGTCATTCCTACCTAGACCGGAAATAACCTAAATGACCCAAAAAGATCCTAAATTTAAAAAAAAAAAATTGTAATTTTTAATATTTAAAAGATTCAGTAAAATAATACGATTGTAATCGATGGATGATTTGTGTACTTTCCCTAAAACATATTTAATTAAACTTCCATAGAACATGTTCATTATCATGATTTCATAACAAACAAGATTCTAACATTCTCAAGTCTCAACATATCTTGACCTCAATGGTCTTCGGTTTCTTAGGCTCCGGCGGCCGCAATTTCTCCACGGTCACCGTCAAAACCCCGTCTGGACACACGGCCGAGATCGCATCCGTGTTAGGATTCTCCGGCAACACGAACTTCCTCATAAACTTGCCCACCCTCCTCTCCATCCTCACGTACTTCGCCCCTTCCTTCTCGTCCTCTCGCTTCCGTTATCCGCTGATCAACAACACGTTGTCGGCCTCCACCTGTACTTTGATGTCCCCGGATTTCAGCCCCGGCATGCCGACGACGAAGACGTAATACTTTGGATCCTGTATTTTAATTTATTCCTATATCAATCATGGACAAACTCTAATCATGGGGTACCAACGAGTAGCAGCCATTTCTGAACTAAACCCAGCAGCAGCACTACCTATTTATTCGACTCTAATCAAAGGTTTTATTTGCAGGTGGTCCTCAAGGATCATATAGGGGATTCGGGGTATCGATATCATCGGCAAATGAAGTTTTTAGGGCGTCTTACTCTGTTGCACACAAGCTCATTTAGGGTGGTTTCTGGTTTTAGGCCTGATTCAAGGACCCTTGCAATACAAGGGTCAAGTGCAGCCATGGCTAGTGGCATTTCGGCTTTAATCACTATGCCACTCGACACCATCAAGACCAGATTACATGTTCTTCATAGAGAAGAGAACCTTTGATGATCTTGCAGACGTGCCGAATTCGGTTAACGGGGGATAGGCTGCTCGTTACAGGGGACCAGAACCGAGGCGCGCTTCGATGTGCAACAACCACGATCACTACGTTCGAGTTCTTGAAGCTGTTATCGACCACTAGACGAGAGAGCTTGGCATCATGAATACGAGTTCTTACAATCACCTGCATTTATGCACAGAAACCAGAACACAAATTCTTGCATTTAAAGACAAGATTCAAACATATGTAATGGGCAGTACAAAAACACAAGATTTGGCCCAAGCATTTGATAAGAGAAGAGGCCACTGATTTTTGGACTAATTTGGAAAGAAGAAAAAACAAAGCCCCCTTTCATTAACATTTTTGCTATGACATCAACAAATTTATTGAAGGTTAAAGTAAATAGTCCCTACTATATGATATTGTTTTATTAAGTCCATCGACTACTAAAAGTTACAAAATGATACTTTAACTATAGAGCATTGTTTCTATCGAGTCTCTCGACCATTAAAAATAATATATTTGTAACACCCCAATTTAGGGGCTAAATTTAAGAAATTATAAAGTGGTGGATTTAATTGGTATTTTTGGAAGGAATCGGGGATTAAATTGTAAGATTTCAAAGTTAGCAGACCGTTTTAAGAAGTGTAGGAAGTTCAGTGACTAAACTCTTGGTTTAGCCAATTTCCTTTATGAGAGAATTTATAACCCCTCCCCGTGCTGCAGAATGTATAATTTTCCAGTTTTTCTCTTCCGTTGACCCAACTTCCAACTCCGATCTACTCGCCGTCCGACCTCCAAACGACGAGCCGAAACCACCATCGTGTTCGTTGTCAATCGAGGAACAAAACCCCTCAAACCTTTCGTCGAGAATCATCGCCGTTCGTCGTGAATTTCAGTCGGAAGTATCGTCGGTAATAACTCGTTTTAGTTGGTTTTTCATCGATTCACGACGATCCGATGATCCGTTTACGACACCTCCCGCACCATCGTGTTCCTTGTGCCGTTCCGAGTTCACCGATGTTCTCCTTTTTCTCCGGCGGCGGCAGCGCGTGTGGAGGTGAAGCGGTCAAAGTTTCCGACGTTTCAAAATCGAGCTCTCCGCCGTTCAAAATTGTGAACCGAGCTTTGTAAGTATCTCGAAATCGCTCAAAATAATTTTTAGAAAATTTTCTGTGAATTTTACGCTGCCGGAACAGTGCCCACGCGCCCCCACGCGCCGCCACTGCGAGTGGGGATAGTCTAAATGACCGGTTTGACCGGTTTTAGTGAATAGTTGACCGGTTTGACCGGTCACAACCCGACCCGACCCGTTGACCCGACCCGTTGACCCGACCCGACCCGTTTACCCGACCCGTTGACCCGACCCGTTGACCGTTGACCCATTGACCGTTGACCACTGTTGACCAAAACTTTGACCGGCTTTGATCGGGCATTAAACGACCTTTGACTTTGACCGAGTATACCTATCCTGACATTTTTCGACGTTCCAAATCTGATTCCGCTGTCCGTTTTTCGAAATTCAAACCCGAAGGTCTCGAAATTGCCGGTCAAACCCGTTGACTTTGATTTTGACCGAATATTCCAAATTTCCGAAAAGTCATATTTTATGCTTTCGACGTCCTGAATCCGAATCCGAAGTCCGTTTCGCCAAATTCGAACCCGGTAAGCCGTCTTTCACTGATTTATCACCCGATTCGATCCGTTTATCGTAATTAAGCTTCGTTTCTGATATAATTTATGTTTATATGTATCTGAGGAATTATTGGAAGTTGAATTGAAGATCAAAGATGTTCGAATGGAATTTTATGGTCGATCAATAGTGTACGGAAATTGAGGTAATACTTTACTACCTCTTTATGCTTTATGGAACATGTTGGTATTGATAAATGCATGAATGAAAATGTTTAGTCTCATATGTGTAATTAATGAAGATCTACACTAGGTACGAATACGGTAGAAAGTAGATAACTGAATATAGCTCAGATGACTATTATAAGAAATTGGAGGACGGTTTGAATTAAATTACAAGTTCTGGAATTAAGTAATAAAAGAATTAACCATGGATTGTAGATTATAATTTATCTCATTAAAGGTACTTAGATGATAAATTAAGAGAATATTTCGATTAGGGAAAATTACGAAATTACCCTTATGTTGGAAAATGATAAGAATTGTCTCTGGAAGTGGATTAATAAATCTGAAAAGAATTATTGATCTGCTAAAACTATTGATGTGCATAAGAAATGTTAGTTTTACTTGGAAATTATGGAGAACCGGTTTTTAACCCCAATAAGGTTTATGCAAGATACTAGAAGTGTGTTAAGGGAATTATTTCAAGATCAGAGATTGTTCAAGAAAGCAATTAATCATAGGATCTCTAAATTATATTATTTTCGTTAAGAGCTAATATCGAACTTATCTGGCTAAGAAATTACGGAAATGCCTTAAGAGGTAGAATAGTTTGAGATGACTCTGAATGAGAAAATAC